GCACCCGCGCAGGGGGTGCAAGCGAGGCGGGCTCTGCAACGCTGCGGTGGTTTTTTGGAGGGGGGGTGAAAGGAGGAAGCTGCCCCTGCCCTGTTGCAGCGTGTGGGGCGCTGTGGGAGGAGTGGCTGCCCAGCATGCTGGAAACCATCCTCCTTTCTGCAAGGAGGAAAACACGCCATAGAGGCGTAGGGCTGGAAGGGTCCTCAAGAGGGCATCTAGTGAGGGTCCCTGCTGAGCTCAGACCAGCTGAGTACACCCCTGGCTGGGAGTTAGCCTGGTCAGTCTTCAAATCCTCCAGTGATAATAACCCCACTTAACTTCCTTGGACACTAGGTAGCATTGCTGACCGGAAAGTTTCCTGGATTCTCCTGTTTCTTCCCCTGCTTTGCAACATTGACGTTGCAGTGAGATACTCCAGATGACAGATGCTTAAGAAATACCTGCCAGAGAATGTCCCCTTCCCTCTCCTGGCACACATGCAATTTTGAAACCGCAGGAACCGAGGATGATGTTTAAGGGGAAGGGTTGTCAACGAAAAGTTGTAGTAATGTAACGGAATTATTGCACATCTACCGCTGCCAGGCTCTTTCCCAGTTTGCTATTGGTATAACACAGTGAGCTGCAATTTAGGTCTCATCCATCGCTCTCTTTTTTTCAGTGATTGCACTCCAGATATTTAGATGGTCTCTTACAACACAGAACTCCTGTCTTGGGGCAAAGCAGGAAATCTCTAAAGTCTAGCAAGGTATGGTCACGAACAACTAGTGTAGATGATTTAGCAGATCTGTTTTACAAATAAGGGTACGTCTACATTACCTAGCTTTTAGTGGCATGGCTGTGCCCACACAGCCCTTCTGCTAAAAGTAAGCATGTGTGAATGGTATTTGTTGGCACTGCTGTTGGTAACATATTTCCACTCCTCCAAAGAAAAGGTTTTTCACGGGCAGTACAGCACTCTGGCAGAGAAAACAAGCAGCATTCTCATTTTCACTTGCTGTGGCAAAACTTGGAGATGGGGGTGGGGGTAAGGGTTAAGCACCTGTGAACGACAAATGTTTTGCCAAGCTAGCCTAGTGTAGTTGTCTGTACCAGATAGAAGGGTTTTTTTGGGGGGAGGCTCATTTTATTACCTGTTCCATTTTCTTTTTGTAAATGACCAAAGGGATGATGGGGAACAGAGAGAGCAAGACTGTGATATCTGCAAAGTATGTAACACTCTGCATGGTTTGTATATTGCAGGGTCTATCTTCAGGGCTTCATGCTGAGTCCACCAGTTCAGGTCATTAAAAGGACTTACCATGGTAATAAACATTATTTTTTAAATATACAATTATATTTATATATACAGTACACTCTGAACAAAATGGGAACAGAGGAGTTCAAAATTAGCACAGGAATGGTGCATAAACTAGCTTACATATTGTTCAACAGCTACAGAGGGGCATCCGTATTAATCTGTAACTGGAAAAACTTAAAAAACAATGAATGGTCTACAGGCAGTCCCCGGGTTACATCGGATCCGACTTATGTCGGATCCCTACTTACAAATGGGGTGAGGCAACCCAGCACTAGCTGCTTCCCCCCAGCAGACCAGGGAGACGTGAAGCTAGCGCCCCCCCCTACCCCCGCCCGCAGACCAGGGAG